CTACTATATGTGCACTTAAGTGTTGATCAGTTAAAACCAATTTGATGGTGAGTACATGTGGTGCTTGTTTTTCCATTCTTGAGATACTTCACTTAGTAGAATGGGCTCCAGCTCCATCCAGGATAATACAAGAGGTGGTGGATCACCATTGTTTTTTTGTGACTGAGTAGAACTTCATAGTATACAGGTATCTAAACACCTTGCATAAGTTGGATTCATCACTAGCCCAGGTGTAAGCCCTGATATTTCTAGAACACCATTTCTCAAACTTCTGCACTGAAATTGCCTAGAGGACTTGCTAAAAAACAGATTGCAGAGTCCTGCCCCGTGATGCAGTGAGTCAGGCAAGAATACTTGCCTTTTTAATAAGTCCCAGGTCATGTTGCTACTGCCCTGGCATCTCACTTTGTGCACCACTGATCCAAGTTAGCTTTGGTGATCTCATTCCCCATATCAACGACTGGTTCAGCTATGAGCATGCAATGCAATTCTGGGCCAATGTGAGGGATTCTATCTTGGGAGACTCCTAGGACGGTTTTCCTTGCTGTTAAATGGGGCACACAAGAAGAGAAAGGTATTGCCTTGGTGGTCTTTGCAGCCTTCCTCTTGTAACTATGTGAGTCAAAACCTGAGGTTGGTGAAGCGGAAAGACAGAACCAATTTTGGAGATGTCCTCTGTTTGGACTTCTTATTGAGATAATAAATGTACTTATTGTTCAAGTCCTTTCCATCAGAGTTTTATTTTATGTGCAGCAGAAACTTTCCTCACTGGTAGACATGCTTCTTAGAGGTTAACGATTGCCTCATTATTAAAAGTCAGTAATTTATGCTCAAGAAGTAAAGTCTGCATGGGCTGTTGGTCTGATATTGAGCTTGCCACATTGGGATTGTGTGTGAGGTGGGGACTGCTTACCTTGATGAGCCTATTGGCCCAATAAAACCTCCTGGGTTTTAGCAGTGACCCCCTGGAAAAGAATTCTGTGCCCCTCTCACTCAAACACATGCACATTTCATTCACACACACTTGTGTGTGTGCACACACATGCTTATTATTGACCCACTGGCATTGAATTATTGGCCTAATGAAGCCTAGTTTTGTCCTGCCACTGGTTTTCTCTGCTTAGACTTGGGAATCTGAACGTCTACCCTCGGTGGGCTTTTATTTAGCCTGTGCCTCTGGTAGCCCTGTGTTGCCCCTGACAAGATCCCCTGCTCCAGGCATGTGGCTTCACATCCTCCCAAACTGCCAGTTAATGGAATGACCTTGGCTTTTCTCCCTAGATGGGGGATTGGGTTTTAGAAGGATGGGCCTGTGTCCAATAATTAGCATTTGTGCATTACTATACAGTTTATACCTAGCTTTCTGTTTTCACATTCAGGATCTCAGCTGATTGTTGGAAGAACTCTTGGGGATCAGGGGAGGATAGGTATTCTGTTATTATATCCATTTTCAGGTTAGGGAATTAGAACAAACCAATATTATACCCATTTTACAGATTAGGACATAGGAAAAACAGATATGCTTGGTAACTGGAGTGACTAAGAATATGTTCCAGTACTACTCGCTGAACTCTTTAAAGGAGATTTTTTTGAAGTACACAATTTTTCAAGAAAGTATGTTAAGGATATATTATTTTTGGCAACAATGAAAAATTTGCTCCTGTAAAGGATTTACTACTATCCATAATGAGGTTTATAAGCCTATGAAATGAGAGCTTCACCTGTGTTTCTTAGTCAATCTTGGCCATAGGTTTTATCTTCTTTCTTCACCCATTCACTCCACCTTTAACCACATGTCCCCACTGGATGCTCTTGCTAAGTTACCAGTGACTCCCAGTTACCACATCCAGAGGGAACTCGGCACCTTACACCTTTGGCAGCACTTGGCCCTGGTGGTCCCTCTGTCCCTGGAGTCCTGCCTTCCTTTGCTTTCCTCTTCGATCCCAGCTCTCTGCCTCCTCCTCTGTCACTCCTGATGCTCCTGAAATATTCTCTAACTTTGCCTGCTCCTTTGATGTTCTTACCCAGGGCACTCTTTTTGATTCTCTTTAATTCAGCTGTCCATGCTATCTGAACAGGTCATATCTACCAGCTCCTCCTTGTCTTTAAAGCTCCAAGGCCATGTGTCCAACCACCTCCCAACATTTCCACCTGGGGCACAGTTGGTGCATGACTCATCACGCAAACTGAACCATGACTTCTTTCAGCTGAACCTGCTCCCCTTCCTATATTCTCTTATTTTCCTAAATATTCACTTTGTTGCAAAAACCAGAAATAGGGGTGTCATCTGTGACTCTTTCCAATATTTTTAATCCTGGCATCAAATCAGTAAGTCCTGAACACCTCCTAAAGAAGGGTGTTCTCTGGGGTCTCTTTCCTAAGGTCACTAATCCCATTCATGAGGGCTCCACTTTCATGACATGATTACCTCCCAAAGCTCCACCTCCAAATAGCATTGTATGGGGGATTCAGTTTCAACATATGGATTTTGTGGGGACACAAACATTCAGACTACAACATTAGCTCATTTGCATTTAGAAAGCATCTAACTAAGCAAACCTCTCCAAAGCACAGGTGCCTTGCATACAGCAAAATAAATCTAAGTGGAACAAATAAATGTATGAGGACATTGTGAAGCAAACCTGCAGATGGAAGAGGGTCTTTTTGAACTGCACTCATGAGATCCTCTGTATTTTATTACGTTAAAATGGAGCACATTTTCCTTCTCCTGCTGGTGCTCCACAGAACTCTGGTGGGGGCCTCACTGGTATTTCTCTGCTCCATGTCCCTGGGTCCTCTTACTCAATCCTGTGTTTTCAACTGTTATCTTGGATGAGTCATTCCCAAACCCTTATCTCCAGCCTGGTCTGTTAATGCAATTTCTCCTGAAACTCCTCTGCTTGACCATGTCACAGCCTTCTCCATTTCATCGTGCCCACAATGGAACTCCTCATCTTCCCTATGTCTTCAACCCTTTCCCAATAACCCTAGTTCCTGTTTTTGTGTCCTTCATTTCAGTAAATGTTTCTCAGTTGCCGAATTAAGTAACGTAGGAGTCATCCTTGATTCCTTGATCTAATCTGTGACCAGATTTTTTCAACTCTACTTCGTAAATACAGCTCAGTTGTAATCTCTGTCTTGCCACCACCTGGTCCAGGCTACCACTGTCTCAGTCTGGTATTACCACAGTGAATGTCTGACTCCCTGCGTCTGCCCCCTGCGCTACTCCCACCTGCTCACACAGTCCCTGATGGCTCCACAACCAAGTAAGCCATTCTTTAAAAATGTAAACCAGATTGTGTCATCCATCCCTTGAAGCCCAAGACTGCAATGTGGTGCCCTGGATTGTATCTAGGAACAGGAAAAGGACATTAGTCGAAAAACTCATGCAATTTGAATAAAGCCTAAAGTTCAATTAATAGTAATGTTCCAATGTTGGTTTCTAAGTTTTGATAAATGTCCGGTGATTATGTAAGATGTCAGCATTAGTAGAAACTGGGTAAGGAGTATACAGGAACTTTGTGTAGTATTGTTGCAACTGTTTTGGAAATCTAGAACTATTTTATAATTAAAATTTAAAACAAACAAACAAAAAACATTAGTAGCTTCCATTCCCCTTAGAGTCCAAAACCCTTAACATCATCAGCTTCCTCTCTCCAGCGAGACTAAACTTATTGTTTAATCCTTTTAGTGAGATAAGCCTTTTCCCTGCCTCCTGGTACTCAGTGTCTGCCCCAGTAATAAATGCGTGATAAATATTGGTTGACAATTAATGAATGTTGCAATTTTAAATTAAAAGACTATAAGCTGGGAATTGGTAGGATTTCAGAACTTGTAAGTTACCAAACTGGGTTTTCAGCAGGAGTCAGGACAGCCCTAGCAATCCTTCACCTGTAGGGTCTGCTGCTTTCCCCTGCTCCCTTCACTGCCCTTCCCTTAGCCTATCTCTGCCGCCCTTTTCCCTTCTAGGCTGCTGTCCTTGAATTGTGCACCAGCCCCCTCCCAGCTGTGGAGACCAGGTCATCTGAAATGCCCATTTATGTCAGCAGGTGAAAGAAAAGAGGATCTCCTCCCATCCTCACCACATGGCCCCTTTCCCACTTCCTACTACTTACTTGTGGACCATTTAACAGTGAGTTTCTGGAAACAGTGCTGCCTCCCTACGGTCTCACTACCGGAGTTATTGTAATAGCAGGAATTCCAAGCCAGATAAGGGGAGCATGTCAGCCTGCCAGATGGTGGGGAAGACAGGCCTGGGTGAGCAGCCTTCAGACTAATGTGGGGCAGAAGGGATCATGTGTTGGAATCACATTTGAGAAAAGGAGTCGAGTGAACCTCATCACCCATTACAGAGCCCTGTTATAATATCCCTCAGTTACTTGGACTTGGATTTAACCTGAGACAAATCCTTTTTCTTCTCATGCTTTTTCCCTCCCTGCCCCATGTTATATCCTTTCTCTTTGTAAGTCGCCACTCTTAAAAATCTATTGAGAAAGAACTATTACTAATTACCTTAGATTATAAATTTAAGACATAACAATGAGAATATTATTCTTAATTTTTCAGAGGAGCAAACTTCCCAAGGTTATTTGTAGTCGGTAATATTTATTACCAAAAATAATCTGGGATTCAAACTTGGGGCTTTCTTTTTTTTTTTTTTCTTTTTTTTTTACATACCAAACATCTGTTTCAACACTTGGGGCTTTCTGCCTCCAAAATTCTTGTTCTGCTATCCTGCAAGCGGCAACTGGCTCTAAACTCTACCTCGGCATGGAGGGCATCAATGCAGCAGGTCTCAGAGAAAGTGAAGGTAGCGTCAGAGTCTTTCTAGAAGGCAGCCAGTGGAGAGAGTGGGGACTGTATGGGGTGCTTCTGTTTTCTCATTGTGTTTCACTGAGGACAGAAAAATCTATTGCCAACAGCTATCTGGGAACAAGGTTTTGAAGCTTTCCCCCGATCCCCTGCCCCTCTTCGCCCAAATGACGTTCTTGCACATACTCCAAAGTGATAGACAGAAGAATTTAATAATACATGTAATGCTTTTCCTTCCATTTACACTATCATAAATTACAAAGTATTGTTCACTTCACAAAATAAAACCATTTCCAGATAATTTTTTGACAGTATCAAGAAGTACATAAGCTACAACGAACAAATCTGTACAGTCGGGAGGGAGGATAATGGCAAGGACCAGGTCGAGCCACTTTGACCCCCGTGTGCAGTGCAGTCCATCCGCATGGCCCTTGGGACCGTCCGGGACAGCAGCCGCACTCTGCTCCTCCTGCCAGCTCCGCTTAACACACAGCCATTCCCTTACGGTCACTTCGAAACAAGACTGGTGAGCAATTATATGAATCATCTTGGACAATCAGAGGAAATGACATTGTCGTTGGATTAAAAAAAAAATCTAGATTTACAGTTTTGGATGTTTTAAATATTTCGCTTATGTTACAAAATATAGAAATCTTGGTGTGAAGGGTTCATGCTAAGATAAATATAATCAAGAAGATGGAACTATGGAAATAAAATCATATTAAATTATTATCCATACAGAGATACTTTTCTCAAGGAACAAATATTTGGTAAAAAACCAACTTTTTTCAGTTTCATTTTTTTTAAAATAGGCTTGTTTATAAAACAAAAAGGAAAAAAAAATTCAACAACTGTTCTGCAGATTTGCTGTTTATCAATACAGACATATGGCAAAAATGCAACTTGCCATTAATAGGTGAATCCAGAGGGTCTGGCTGAAATGAAAACAGGAAAAGTGCTAACTTTTTACACAGCTCAGATACATCCAGTGTCCTCAAATAATTTTATGTAAAGCAACCACATTCTGCGATACGCATAATATGGAAAAACTATGACCAATTACAAAACATACTTTGGAAATTCACGCAATTTTTATGGAAAGAAAACCTATGGATGTTTCAGACCATCCTGCAATTGCTATAAACTACACCATGCAATAGCAGAATGCCAGTGCTTAAGAGCAAGAACTATCAAAAGCAGGAACACAAGTGGCAGGTGAAATTTCACTGAAAAGCACTGATGAGGACAGAGGTATGTCAAGATAATACTGCATTCATGGTCAACTTTTTTAGGGCATCACAGCAAGAACATGGGACAAGGTACACAGGGTAATAATCAATGCACTGCATTGAGTTCTATTTGCTAAAATAAAATAACATTCTTGCAGGTAAAATAAAAATACATTTTACAATATAAGTTTCATTTAACATTTAACAGATAGAATTGTCTTCTTTTTTTGTAAGTGGAAAATGTATACCTGTATCAAGTACCTTTATGAATTAAGTTCCCTTTTGTTACTCATAAGACTGAAGTTTAAAGGTCTACATTTTTTTTTAATAAGTTAAAAGAAAGATTTATTAATCACTCTTCCAGCAAAACAGACACACATACGAGGCACAGCAAAAGACCCAAGGTGAGGGGGTCTGGGCACCCTCACTCCTGTTGTTCTCGAGTGGAGAAGGCGCGTGTCTATGAGACACAGTACCTGACTCGGCGATCCACTGTGGTCCAGGAAATTCTGTCACTTGTTTGAAAAACAAATCAAGTGTAAGAAATGTTTTTATACCTTTAAGCTTTATCCACTTAGACGGGGCTGGGGCTATTCAGCTCACTTCCCTGATGGACTAAAACAAAACATCTTCATTTTCTATTAGAATCTGCACAATCAGCTTTTGGTACCGCATGTCGTGGAGGGTGGTCAGAGTGCTGTCCTCGGGGGGCCTCATCAAGGTGGGCCCGAACACGATCCCCAGATTCTCTGCATTCATTAAATTGTCCTTTTCATTCATAGTCACCCTGTAACACACATGCACACAGAGATGTTATGGAGATGTGAGAAGGAATTTACATACTGAATGAATTTGCATACTGATTCTACACTTAAGTCCCAAGAGCATCTCTGGTTCGGGAAATTGTGGGAGAAAATTGAGAATCAGAACAGCAGAAAGGTATTTTTAAAGAGGTAATTTTCTGATTTCTTTCCTTTTTAAATTGTTGACTTTGCTTTCAGCCAGTGGATGTGAATTATTTATGTGAATCTGGTATGAACACAATTTTTAAAATTAGAAAATTAGTCCTCCTTACTAAAGACATGCAGAACTATCACTTAAGGAATATCGCTCTGAAGGGGTGGGCAGATTATTGGCCGGGCCATGGTGCATACGTGGGCCGTACACAGGGGTCTTTTTTCCTCTTGTCTCTTCCTGCTGGTCTGTACGCTGGAGGGTGGGGAAGCCGAGGGCAGACTCCCTGTCTGCTGGCAGGACCAGCGCCAGCAGAGAAAGGTTGCCTGCAGAATGGGCTGCCATGAATTTAGGAAGAGGCAGGCCGTTATCATGGGACAAGGCTGGAACGTGGCCAAGCTGGAAGGCAGTGGCTATTATTTCTAGCTCCCACAGGATGAGGTCTGGAGCGGTAAGTATTGTTGGAATTAAAAATCTCATTTCAACATCCAGATAAGAACTTCAGAGCCTCTAAGAATGAAATTCAAACTCCAAAGTTGGCTTCTTAACCTTCCTAGTGGAATACAATGAAAATCTCCCAGAGTTTTGCTTCCATAAACTTAGGTTTTAGAATGTTCATAATAGATCTAGAAGGGGGTAGGTTCTCTAAATTAGAGCAAAATATAATTAAAATGTGTTTAGGTTTTGCACAGAAGGCCATCCCTTTCTGTTTACTGCCTTAGAGCTAATTAGGATTAGCCATTTTGCATTATTTTAGGAAGGTTAACTCAGTTTGTGTCATGCTACAAAGCTAAGAAGCTTGGAAAGAGGACATTCCTTACTATCAAAGTGTTCACATCTCCCTGTTAAGTCAGGCACTACACCTGAGCAAACAATGTGACTACCAAACCCATCAGAATGCAAATATGAAATTATTGGCATTTAAGATTCAGCTGGGAGATGTCAGCATTTTTCCTGATAGTGGTATTTTGCCTTCCAAACTGTAACAATTGGATAATATTCGCAATGAAAGAAATATTTTGTAGCTATTTTATATATTAGCAATATTTTATAGCTAATTAAATCCAGATGTGACACTCATAAGTTTATTAATTATCCAAAAAATTACTTGTACTCTTAAATTCAATAAATTAATCAAAATGGAAATAAGAGTGAAATGTTACCTTCTTTGGTCACTCTGAAGCTGGGCAAGAATATTTGAATGTTTTATAAGGCAGGAAAATAAAAACCTCCATACCTAGTGTTAACATAGTATTATCAACTTGGTTCCTTTCACTTAGGAAGTAGACCTATAAATTGGTCAATGTAGACAATTTTGGTTCATTTTATCTAAGAATGGGATGCTGCCATGTATCTACCAAAAAACTCACAAGGAGGCACACAGATGTATCTTGATCCCTCCCTCCAGTATTATAAGATCAACTCATTGACCTAATTATACATGCACAGTGAAGGAAAGAGACACAAGGTTTAGGGAGAAGAGTCTGGAACCGGAGGCTCTAGTGGCCTGTAAACATCCGAACATCTCCACCTCTGTCTCACGCACTCTCACAAAGACACCCAGAATGTGGTGGGTATTCTCTGAGATGGTCCCTAGCGATCCCTGCCTCCTGGAATTCACACCCTGGCTGAGTTCCTTCCCCTAGAATATGGGCTAAACCCAGTGACTTGCTTCTAACAAATAAATTATGGCAAAAGCAATAGGATGCCGCTTCTGAGATTAGGTTACAAAAAGACCGTCTTTCATCTTGGGAGCTCTTGCTTGCATGCTCTGAGGGAAGCCAGCTGCTACTCTTTGAGCTGCCTATGGAACAACTCAAATGGTAAGGAATTAAGGGTGGCAAGTAAATAAGGCCTCCAGTCCACCTGCCTCTGAGGAACCAAATCCTGCCAACAACCATGTGAGTGAATGAGCTCGGAAACAGATGTTGCCCCCATCAAGCCTTCGGATGAGATCGCACCTGACAGTACAGACCTTGAATGTGAGGCACCCACTAAGCCACACCCAGGTGCCCGCCCCACAGAAACTATAAGCTAATAAATGCTTGTTGTTTTAAACCACTAGACTTTGGAGTGATTTGTTATTCAGTGACAGAGAACTCATAAGAGAACAGGCTGGGAATGTGCTCTCCCAGGGGCAGGCAGGCTTGGGATCCAGAACTGGGGCAAGCAGCAGGGGGAGGACAGAATGCAGAGTGCGGGGCTTGTGTTGGAGGGAGGCACAGACGTGGAGGCAGTGTAGACAGTGTAGTTAGAGAGCAGGGGCTCTGGGTCAGCCTGCCTGCGTTTCAATCCTGGCTTTACCTCTGTGGATTAGCTATCGTATTTAACCTCCCTAAGCTTCAGCAATCTCACATGTAACCCGAGGCCTCTGACGGTGCCCATCTCATAGGGATGATACAAGGAACATGCCCGGAGCAGCTCCTGGCACAGGGCACGGGCTCCAGCGCTAATGAGCTGGGAGGAATGTTGATGCTTTTCCTAATGCACTATCGGCCCCAGGGGCGGATCAGGGTTTGCAGACATGGTGTCAGCTTACTTTTTGAGGTGGATCATCAGGTATCGGAGGGTCTCATAGTGGGCAGGAGGCAGCAGCAGCAGCACTTCATGGACTGCTTCCAGCCTCTCATCTGCATTGGAGATTTCTGTGAAGTTCACACGAGCGGATATTAGTGCAGGGTTAGGATGTTAAAGTTTTCAGAGAAGTAACAACAAGTTTTGTTTGTTTTAACCACAAATGGGGAAGGGTTCCAATAAATTCATGCAGTTTCAGGTACTCTTTCACTTAATCAATTTGTTCATGCCTTGCCTCATTCTAGAAAGAGTTGAGGCTGAGCCCCACATGCTTATTGGACATCTGCATTGTGGGTGGCCAGAGGCTGGACACTGTCCTTTGCCTCCAGGAATCTGCAGGCCAGTGGAGTGCTTACAGTCTGGTGGGACATGCACAAAGTGTGGCTTGTGCTTCTGAGCACTGGATTTGCTAAAAATCTATCACAGCTTTAATTTAAACTGTAGCACATATTTTAAAGTTATCTAATGTCTTTCCCTGGCAGGCTGCCAACTCAGCCTGTATTAATGGTACTTCTCACCACCTGCATTAATGGTACTTCTCACCAAAGTGTTGGCATGGTTAACACCCGTACACAGCCCTGATTAGGAAGAGAAGACTGGGCATATTAACAATGGAAGGAAGAGGGCATCCTTCTGTTTTTTGGGTCTCTGATAGGTATTGGCAGCTACTCAAAGAAATCCCTCTGCCATTCTTCCTGGGGAGGAGGGTACCCAGCTGCTAGAATCTTCTCTGCCTAGGACGACCAGGACCTGTGAAGGAATGGTCTTACCAGGGTGCAGGGCTACAGCTCATCTGGAAAGTGCATCTCACACTTATCTCGGACTGCCCTGTGTCTCCCAGTCAGACACCTCATTGCAATAGCACATATCTAAACTTTTCAACCTTTAAAGATTAAACACCAGCAACAAAACTCAAAACAGAATGAAAATTCTTCAAAGTGGGCTTGACTTCCATGTCATGGATCTCAGCATCTCAATGTCCCCTTCCTCACTATTGCCTATTCCTGGGTGAAGTGCAGTCCCTTCCCCCACCTTCCCCTTTCATTTCTTTTCCTCTCTCCTGACAGCATCGCCCCAAGGGTGGACACTGAACAAGCTGATGGAAGGTGAACACTGACATTCCATTCCTGGGCCTGTGAGCTTAGTTCTCCAAGCCTCGCTTTTCTCTTCTGAAAAATGGGATCATAATATTTGCCTCACAGAGGAGATGAGAAGATTAAACCAGAAGACATTGGTGGGAGGTCCTAGCATAGCACTTGGAACTGAGTATTTTTAGCCTTCTATTAATTTTGAACAGTATCAATGGGCAAAACTTGGGTGTGACTTTAATTGATTAGCAATGAGATTCTACCTAATGGATAAAAACAGTTGACCTAGATCGTCCTCATTGAAGAAAATCTGATTATTTTTTGCTACACAAATATTCATGCTTTCAACATACAGCAGCACAGGCCTGACTGTGCTGGTTTCCAGCATACAAGGAATAACGGGGAGAGACACAACTGCCTGATGCCCTGATTCAGCCCGGTAGACTTGGCTCTGTACTGGTTCAACTCAGCTGGTGAACTCAGCTGCCTGGTTTTCTATTAACTGCATCGTTGTGCCCTCACTTGGCAAAAACAAGTGCACATGCAATGATTTAAAGAGTTCTGAATTTTAATTTTCTTAAGGTCAAAAGCATTGTACTTACCATTTTGGCACAAATAAAAAAATTAATTCTAAATACTTACTTGCTGCTTCTATAAATTTGGAATAGGTATCATATGTGATGAGGGGGATGGGCAAGTCTCTGAAATACAGTTTAAGGGCTCCAGTGATGATGTTTATGTCTGGATAGATGCTGGCAGATATATCTGCTTTTTCACCATCTGAAAAACAATCAATGATCCAAGTCCTAATTAGGACCTTATTGCACCAAGTTAAGGGATACACAGAAAGAAAAAAAGAATCCAACAATGAATGCTTCCTGACAGCTCTCAGCTAATTCTTTTTGGCTTCTATTAACACTGAGGTGTAGGAGGTAACAGAAAGGAGTTCAGTGAGGGTGAGGTAGGGTCGGAGGGTAAGTGCAGGCAGAAGGTAATGAAATAGACTTGAAATAGTTCTGTGGGTCCCAGCCCACGCTAATTTGCTAAACAAAAATTTAGCACAGTAATTCATGTTATAGACACAAACATTCATGCCAGGATGACAATCTAATTTGAAATAAAAAGTATCAAGAAGCTCTATCTAACACCAGTATTCTTTGGACTTAGATTTGGAGGTCACGGTCACAAAATAATTGTTGAAAAATCTTCAGTTCTTATTACTTTTTTTGGGCTCACTGAAGTTTTTCATTTTTAACTTGACCCGTCCTTTTCCCAGCCCCAATGGCTTTAACCTAGGAGGTTTTGCCCTTGCCTCATGTATAGGCACTGCCATATTTCTTACAATTTCTAACAATCGTTCTCAAGACATTTGACTTTTTGTTTTACCATTAGTAAATGTCAGTCCAGTTTGTCACAGATTATGAGAAATTTTTAGATTAGAAAAGTTTCAATTATATATATTTAATTATATTCAAATATTAATTATATTCAAATAATATTCAAATACTCATTATATTCATATATATATATATATTTCATTAAAATCTTTTGTATAAAGAATTAAAAGAACAAATGCTCCAGCAAATCGGGTTCTGAAGATAAGAAAGCTACGGATACACAGACAACAGTTACAACTCAACAGTTGCAAGGAAATGGGGAGAGTGCCATGCTGAAGAGGTGTGAAGAACATGGGGGAGCATGTGGGGAAAGGCAATGGAGCTCTTAGGTCAGCTTGGGGCATCAGGGAGGGTTCTCGAAAGACGGAAGACTTGAGTTGACTCTTGACTAGCAGGTGTTTGCCAGGGAGAGGTGTGAACACATTCCAATGGACAGACAATGTAAGCCAAGAGTCTTCTTGATGACAACAAGGTGTATTTCAGGATTGCTGGAGTGTATAGTAACAGGGGCGAGGACCTAGAGATGAGCTGGGACAGAGTGGGAGGGCCACATTGACCTTGTATACTGTGCTACAAAGTGGAGGCTCTGCCTGAAGGTTAGGGGTCCCATCCCTTGACTGGCTGCACCAGAATTATTTGGATTGTTTATTAGAAATACAGATTCTTGGGCTTATCCAACTTTCTGAATGAGTCCTCAGAGTGAGTCCTGGTGATCTGTATTTTAAAGAAGATGCTCAAGTTGGCTATACCTGACCTAAGTGATGCTATGCCCTGGCCTAGAGAATATATCATCATAAAAATGTCATAAAGAACAAAAGAGTTACCTCCTAAACTTCCACTGGCCTCCCCTACTTCAGAGCTTGGGGTGCCCCCATCCCTATGCTCCATCTTTGGAGCTCTGAGACATGGAGAAGAGTCAGCAGGACTCTGAGGTAGGGCGTGCAGAAGGGTACCAGTGCCATGTGGATTGGCTGTCCACCCAAGTAGTATTTTAAATTCACTTCTTCATGTGGTCACTTGACCTTGGCTTCTAAGGAAACACTTCCCCCAGAGAGGCACAACCACAAGGTTTTTAAGCTGTTATTACTCAGGTTCCTGAAGAGTAACTCTCAGCAGTTCTGAAACCCCATTCCCGCTATGAATAAAGTCTGGTTCCAAAAGAGAGGATACTAAGGATGTCAGATGGCATTCAAGAAAGTGCAGGCTTACCTCTGTCAAAGGCCATTTTGACATCTTCAATGTGCTCAGTGAACCCAGAGACTCTGTAAAGGCCTTCTGACTTCAATCCTGTTAGAGAGAGAGAAAGAGAGAGAGAGAGAGAGAGACTGAGAGGCTGACTTAAGCTTCCTGAAACATTTAAAAAAAGAGACTTGAATTTCATATCCACACCATGTGCTATCAGGAAATAAGCAGATATAGTCAGTGATCTTATATATCACACACTGTTGCATCAGAACTTGGACTTGCCAGTCTCAGTTTCCATGCAAGTCTGTCCTCATTTCCTTGTGTGGCCGTGGGGATCTCAGTGGAAATCTGGTCTTGCCGCCTGGCTTTGCAAGGTGAAGTGATATTCGAGACTCTCATCAACCAGCCCTCTATGTCCTTGGTCAACGGCTTCCAGACATGCATGTCACTGCTGTGGAAGGTAACCTGGCTTTCTCCTTCATGTCCTCTTAATGCATGTGCTGTATTGTATGGAGCACCGTGCCAGGTACACACACACGTATGTGTGTGCCTAATACATATTACTCTGATTTTATTGGCAAAATCCAAATTTTATATCATTTCATGTTTACTCATAAGAAAGTATGTTAACTGCTTAACTAAATGTGATTGATACAATGGTTATACTTTCAGATAAGTGATTACACAAACAGAAAATAAAATCCTATTCATTGCTTCTGGAAATTTGATCACTGCATATTTAGGCTAAGAAAAAGACTTAGTTTCTTTTCCTAGAGCTTCTTGATGTGTTGAGATACATCCTAAAACCTAGCAAGTTCCCAAAAGCATCAAAAGGGACGGAGGACCAGGTTTCAGACCTTGTATGTCACAAACTAGCTGCTCCCAAAACGACAGCTACAGCAAAAATAAGCAAATAGCTTCTGCTCTTGCTGCAGGGTGCTCTTCCAGACTGTTGATAAGTAACATGTGTTCCTGCTTTTTCATGTGGTAAACATTTATGGAATGTGTACTATCTGCCATATATAAGGGTTTTCATTAAGTCTGCATCAGAGACAACAAATACGTGGCATAAATCATAAATACTGCCCCTCCTCTCTCCTGTGACTACAACAGTCACTCCTAGTCGATCTCAGCTCTTTTCCCCACGGAGCCTTACTCAGTCTCACAGTTCATCTCACTGCCAGTTGTCCAGGTGACCACTGCTGACCACTTGAAGTTGGCACACGCGATGGAACCTGTGTGTCATCCTATTCCCAAATTGTGGCGTGCGTACACACAGCTCAGTATAGTTGGAACAGAGGCAAGGACCCAGTGGTTTCTGTGAGCACACAGCAGTGGACAAGTGACCCTGCCTGTTGATAGATGAATCAAAGTTCTAGCTGATTCAGCTTCTAGTTCATAGATGGCCACCTTCTCTCACCCGTCCTTTCTCTGGTATACGTGCATGGAGAGTGACAGAGTGAGCTTGCTCTCTGGAGTCTCTTCTTTATAAGGACATTAGTCATATCGATTAATACCTCATGCTTAGAACCTCATTTAACCTTAATTACTTCTTCAGAGACCCATTTCCAAATACAACCATACCAAGTTAGGGCTTCGACATATGGATTTAGGGGAGGTAGGTGTGATACAAACACTCATTCCTTAAGATTCACTGAGTCACTTTCAAAGAACTCCAGGTTTTCAAGGAACATAGAAAAATCAGTGTTTTATACTCTATGCTAAATTGTTTTTATGGTTTAGAGTATAATTCCATGGGGAAATTTTCCTGACTCTAGCCCATACTTTACTCAGCAAAGCATTGCCTTATATAATACTGAGATGCTTTTTTGAGAAGCTAATCTTGAAGGAGGTCATGAAGGATGGGCTGGAGTTTGCCAGAGTAGCAGAGACTGCCAGCTGTCCTCCTAGTATTTGTTCTTACGTTCCTCTACTGTAATGGAAGTTTTGATTTTTTAGAACAACATCTATTGCAGTGGCCATGAAATCCTGGCCAACAGGTGTGTCCAGCTTCTGGGTTGTGGCCTTGAAGGGAAAGAGCATGCCTCCTTCCCCCTCCTGTTGGCTGTAGTACAGGCGAGATGGTGGCACCACGGATCCTGCAGACAGGGCAGCATTCGAGCACGACAGAGCAACGGGTGGCAGAGCCTGCGTTCCTGCCAATGAGAAGCTGCTCAACTGCGCTGGACCACTCCTGGGCACCTGGCCTGTTACTGGAGAGAGAAACAGATTTCTATCTTGTCTAAGACACTATCATTCAGGGTCTCTGTATAGCACTGAGATATGCACACCAAACAATACAGTTAGACAGACTTGGAGGTGGAGTTCTGGGAGCTGGCCATTGTAAGGGAAGGTGACGAGGAATAGCACAGGTTGAGTCCTATAACATAGGTTGGCATCGTACTAGTCATTTATATGTATCAGTTCATTTTAGTCCTCACTACCACCTGATGAGGTACAACTGAATACATTCATATTATAGATGAGGACACACATGTTCAAATGCACTAAGTAACTTGCCCAAGGTAATACTATAGCCAGTAAGAGATAGGGCTGGGAATTTATCATAACTTCAAGTCCATGATCTTTTTCACTCTATCACATCATGCAGAGACAAATAGATAAAAGAACATTGGGAGAGCAGTAAGGAATTTGCAATGGTTGGAAGACAGCAAGCACGGCAGTGGTGGCCATGTACCTGGGAATGTGTCACAGGAATTTCTTCCAGCCCATTCTCGGGGTCTGCTCATGAGCCTAGGCTCCTAATACCTGGGGCTCTAATTCCCATGCTGTCACTTCCTTGGCATAAATTCCTGATTTGTGCTATTCTAGCTCTTGTACTAGGCATGCTTGGTACTGTGCTCCCCATGGGACTTTCTTCTTAAATGTTAGACACGGTAGTAACATTGCCTAAGTTATCAGTCGCCTCTGGGAAGTTCCCAGCTTCTTCAGAGAAGTAAGTACAACTCCATCCTTGGCCGTGATTGCAGGCTCTGGAGAGGCCGATGATCTGATCCCAAACTGCAGAGCCCTCTAAACAGCAGGACCCAGGGCCACTTGTTTAAGCCACTTATCCAATGTCAGGGAACCCCCTTCCTTTCCTCTTACCCAGCTCAGCCACTGGATTAATCCTTTTACCAGATCTCAAAGCACCCATTAAGCTCTGACAGCCACAGCCATGGAAAAACATGAAGCATTTCTTACAATCTAAGATAAATGAGCAAGTCCTCAGGGTACAGAATAGCTATGGCTTTCCACCCTGCATGGGGAAGGGAATAATTTCCTCTCTGTAAAAGTATTGGTACAAGCAGCTATAGTGTTCTCTTTTGTTTTGCTTTGGAAAAAATGGGGCAGTTGGCCAATGAATATATACCTGTAAAATATATTAAGTGAATTTGGATGTAATAATGGATATTAAGTGTAGCAAAATACAATACATGGCAAAAAATGGTTAAAATCTTACAAAAGCTGTATATAAGGCCCAATTATCCAAGTCAGATCCAGCAATCCCAGTTCTCCCTAACCAGATCTGGTAAACTATGTCACTGAACATTTTGATACTGAATAGTGGCCAAATAAAGCACAAATGAAGGAAAGATGACTCAAGCATAATATAATGAACCTTTTCTGGAAATGTTTCTATCCTCTTACTTCCTTGATTTTTCATTGCATAGATCTTTTTAATCTTTTAACTCTCCTAGCTGAACTAAAGAGAACCGATACTAAAGCCAGGCATTGTAGCTCATGCCTGTAATCCCAGCATTTTGAGAGGCTGAGGCGAGAGGACTGCTTGAGCCCAGGAGTTAGAGGCTGCAGTGAGCTATGATTGTGCCACTACACTCTAGCCTCAGCCACAGAGCAAGACCCTGTCTCAAAAACAAACAAGAAAGAAAGAAAAAGAAAGAAAAAGAAAGAAAGAAAGAAAGAAAGAAAGAAAGAAAGAAAGAAAGAAAGAAAGAAAGAAAGAAAGAAAGAAAAGAAAAAATCTCTAAGAGCAAATTTTAAGTGTTCTCATCACAAGTAATACATATGCTAATTAGTATTTGGCATAATACAATGTATACATATTTGAAAACATCATGCTGTATACCATAAATAAATACACTTTTTTAAAAAAAGGAACTGATAGTAAGAGCACATTTTTATATGTAGGAGATATATGTTGATGAACAATTTCTTTATTATTTAATAGAAACACTTTTTTAAAAAGATCCAGTTCTAAACTCACCTCAACCAAAATCTTTCCTCAATTGTCCCCAAATAAAACCACCTTGCTTTGTGACTCTATAGTGCTTTGAATATGTCTACCTACAACATTTATTTATTTGTTCTTCTGATTCCTCACGCTATGGTATGAATTTCTGAAGGCAAGAATAGTGACTTTTTATAACCTCAGTGTCTGGCACATAATAAATGCTCAGTAAAAACATTTGTTGAATGCATACAGGGATGGCTTATAATACACGGAAATTGATATAGCCGGTTGGATTTAGTTTATTTATCTGTGTGTGTGTCTTTGTGTGTGTGTGTTGGTCCCAGCAAGAGTAATGGAGAACTTTGGTTTCCTTGACAACAGTAAAAATAAACAGCAAAAAATAGAACGGTATAATATTATAATAATAAGTATTTTCCAAACCTCTCGCTTCAATTTCCCGAATGCATATATCCACCACCATGGGTCTCTGAGTGTTGTGAGCCTTCACGAGTGTTGTGAGGTCACAACAGTACACTTTCTTGATCCGCTTGAGATCAGGTTGGCAGTCGTTGGGGACGTGCTTGGAACACTGTTTGTGTACATTCAATCCACAGTCTGTAAACAAAGACACCACATTAGCTTTGCCCGGCCCTTCTGTCAAAGCCCAACACGAATTATACATTGCCCAAAATAAAAAATACCACCACCCAAGGGTTTGATGTATTCCCCTGGAATGTTCGTGCCATTAGAGATGCTCTCTATGAGATGACTGTGCAATTCATCTTTACTCACTGACCCCCTATGTGATTCCATTTTTCTCGATAAGCCTCCTTTGTGGCTGGACTCGACCATCTTACCCAGATGGTTTGGGCAATTAGTCAGGTTGCTTGTATATGTTTTCCCTTTACAGGTCAGAACCCTTTGGGTCCACACGGGAGCTTTTGGGTTTGGATTTGCAGAGATAATCACAGCTCATAAAGGCCACCTAGGACTTTGGGTAGGTTGTTTCCTTTAAGCTTGTGATGCTCTGTTGCAGAAGGCACAGTTACTCTTCCTGCAGGAATTGCTCATCTTTGGTACGAAGAGTCCATGACCCTGACCATGGCACCCTCTTCCCATTTCCTGAAGGGTTGCCCTATTGTTTGCACTCCCTTCCTCCTTGCCGGGCACTTTGAGTGGCCCTTGTCCTTTCTAAGGGCCTTATTTTGACACCTACGAGTGGAAATAATGCCTGACTGTACACCAGTGGGAATACCTGAGAGTTTATAATTTATAACAATGCCATGTAATGCGATGATTAGAGGAATTATTTATGAAGCTCGTATCAAGATCCAAAGCTGAAAAGGTGCTTTTAAGTTCAATGAAGACATTAAAAGCCTTGTTAGCAGTTGGTATTCACTCTCACAATTTCTCTGACAATGAAAAAGTACAGTCTACATTATGGAATTTAAATTGTAATGCTAAAGTTGTTCAAAGTTGATGTGCTGTCTACTCAAAGTACCTTCTAATATTGTTTTTCTAGGTATAAAGAATAGTACTACACACATACAGGATAATGAATATTATAGTCAGCTGCTTTATATAAAAAGCAGTTAACACCACCAAGAGTTTAAGAGGACCCTTGTAAACTTCTGTAAATCAGTAGTAATTTCTAAGTTATCTTCATGCAATTTTTACTAGTTGAGTTCTTTTTGTCTACCCTCCTGCCAAAGGAAAAAATAAACAGTTCTAATTCATCTTAGCTTTATCATTGCTGAGAAATTCAGCAAAGCTCAAGTGAACTTCAATAATATATCTATTTAGGGAATGTAAATTTTGACTAACTGAACTAAATGAGTTGGCTGGTTTTCTTGTTTGAATTCTCTTTTATAAAATGGGGCTCATACTAGCACCTCCCTCCTAGCGCTATCATGCAGATAAAATAAGTTAATAGATATAAAGTGCTCAGTACAGTGTCTGAAATACAGTATGTACTATACAAAAATTCAAATAAATAGTAAATATAGTAATAAAAAAATAAGGATACCTGCCAAGCTATTAAGTTATTTTCTTAGTAATGTTTACTACATCTTAAAAACTTCATTTAAAATTTTTTGTTAAATTCTGGTAAAATATACTTAACATAAAATTTACCATTTGAACCATCTTTAAGTGTACAGTTTAGCAGTATTAAGTACATTCACGTTGTGCAACCATCACCACCATCCATCCCCAGAACTTTCTTCCATCTTCTAAAACTGAAACTCTGTACCCAAACAATGTCACTCCCCATTTACCCATCTCTCCCCTCCCGCTCCCCCTGCAACCACCATGCAACTCTCTGTCTCTATGAATTTGCTACTCCAGATACCTCATATAAGAGGAATCATACATCTTCATTTTATGACCTGAAGCAATAATATATTTATGTAGAGTTAAATATTTTATTAAAATTAAGATGTTTCATAACAAGTATAAAACATGTAGTTTTTACAAAGTAATAGAACTCCATATGCCACAAATAAAGTCTACTGTATTTAAAAACATTTAAAATATGGAATAAATGGAAAGCTGAGAGGCAATGATGGCTCTTCCTAACCTTCTATGATTAGTTTTCAGCCTTCCTGCTGCTCACAGAAAATGTAAGGACAAAGAGTAGCCGGTGGAGAACACTAACATAGCTTTAGAATGTGTTTCATTAAAAAAAAAAAAAAAAAAAAAAAAACTAGAAAAAAACCCAAAACCCTTTTATCCCAGAGAAAAGTGCTGTTCATAGTTAACGTGAAGCCCAGAGTTTTGTTCTCAAAATATTGACTTTGGACCAATTTCATGCTGGAATTGGATAATACCAGCAATTAGGGATATTTTTGATAGATATAATCTGGACAGGCCAAGGTAATGGCCAGTGAGTCATTCAGATATGCTACCTCTTTGCTCAGTGGTTGAGCTGAGAGACAGATACTCTGTGACTTCTGGCAAGTTAGTCGTTTGTGTTAATCAGGGTATCTGAACATAGCTGGAGAGGCTGTCTCTCAGAGGTAAATCTGAACATATACCACTTATCTCATGGACCTGGGGTAGGGGAGAAAGAGTTATCTGACATACATGAGGACTACTTGAACCACCCAGGTATCAACACAGTGACTGAAAAGCCATACTTTTTCCTACCCCTAGGTATAAATACAGCAATGTATCCATACAGAAGCTAAAACGCCCCTTCCAGGCAGAGAGGAGGACTTAAGGTTACACAATCCTGTGAATCAAGATGGGCACTATTGGAAAGAAGATCACTTTAATGTAATGCCATTAACCTATTTTATTTTAAATGCTGCATAAAGATTATTATTTTTTTAAAGTCATACTCCAACAAGGAGGAAATCAGTCATGGTGTCGGTAGAGACCCAATCAATATCCGAAGAGGCTGCTCTTGCTCCCGGCCACAACTGCTTGCCAGAAAAAGTGTGGCATGATGAATTAGGAAGCCCAGTTACATACTAATTTGGCAACTCTTTAGCGTTTGTCAGATGTACTTGGATAAGATGTGTTGTGTGCTGTTAGCAATGCGTGCATGCATCCAATTCTAGGTGGAAAAAAGCACCTAGGGTTTCAAACTACTTCAAAAATATGTGATATCAAATCAAGGTGTGTGGTTTCACTGCTGATCTGATGGCAGAAAAACACTAACCATGAGCTCTGGAGTCTGACGGCCTTTAACTCAATGTTGCACTGCTTACTATGTGGCCAAGGGCAAGGAACAATTATCTCTAAGCCTCTGTTTCCTCTTTTATTTAATTGCATCTCCTCCATGCTCTGTTGAGGCTAAACGGTGTGATAAATAGAGGTTAGCTCAGTGCCTGGTAAGGGGTAAATATTCACCAGTACTATTACTATTTTTATGTCCTGCTTTCTGTAGTAGGATAGGGTAGGAAAAAATATGGCTTTTCTATCTACGTAATTCCATTAGAACTGACTGTTTTTCTGGACTACAGCTTATCTGGGAGGGGGGAGGTAGGTGTTTAAGAATATGTATTTCTTGTTTTTTTTTTTTTCCTTCCCTGCATAAACATGAGATATTCTTTTTCATTCATGCAAACACTTAGAATAGTCTCTCCATTAAGCACAGACAAGCATGGAACCCTCCAGAAGGCCAGACTTTTGAGCTTATCTGAACATATCTCCCAGCTCTAGAAAGAGGCCCTCCTGCTCAACAGAGTGGCACTTTATATAACTGGAAAAGGAGAAAGAAAATTCCGTGTTACCTGAGCACCGGACCCCTTGGGCGATGAGCCCCCACATGAAATTGGCACAGTATTCACACCAGTGTGGGCCTCGGAATGTGTGAACCTGTGATCCAAGAAAGAATAAAAATGTCAGAAAATTCAGAGTCCTTTGCAGGCAGGTGGCCTTGGACATATCAGTGAAGAAACAACAGCCTTAGCAGGAGTAATGCCTCACTGGGCCTTTTCCTTCCAGTAAGGCAACTGCAAACAGATCCTGAGAAAACAGAGATGTGCTTTAATCTTTGAAAATCCCTCACCGATACACCATGTCCCAGGCCAGAGTCAGAAAGGAATGTGGAGAAACAGTAAGATTATAGGGCCTTGCCGTCACCTAAGAAATGAGACTCTCACCACCTAAAACGAGGCACTGTGTGGACAAACCCAAGATAGCCTGAGCCGGCAGCTGTAACCTACATTTAGCTCAGCAAGTTCTGGAAGGCAAAACTCAATTACTGTGTCCTTTTGACCCAAGTTGCCCCATCTGTAGACTCACCAAGCAGGTATAAATAAGACATGATCATGGGATAATTAAAAGGTTCCAAGACTTTGAGCTGCTTCCATAAAAGGCATTCAAAAAAGTGAAGGAGTTGGCTGAAAATACAGGCTACCAATGGGGCCCATGGAATTGCTGTCTCCAGAGATAGGGTCTATATGGAGCAGGCCTTGATGTGGCCTTCAGGTAAGTAAGCTAAAAACTCTCCTGCTTGGCCAAAGCGCTGCTCTAATGGATGGGTGTCCCAGCCAGTTGTTCCATATTCTGAACATTACAAAGTAAGGATGGTCTTATCTTTGATTATTCAGATATAGGTTCTCCTATAGCAGCAGTACCACATATTAAGTCATGATTTAAAATGAAAACAAAACAAAAATACTTGTTTTCTGGCACAAGAGAACTTTAAGAAGCAGAACTAGGCGATTCCTTGCAAACAGATGTGACAATGGTTAGTCAAAACCACCACTGGCTGTCCACTGGGGGCATACAAATCTACAAGAAAATGTTCTGAAATTTTACAAAATTAAAATGGTATAAGATATTACATAAAACCTTTCAAAGTTTTAAACTTCCATTAATAAATAAATGTAGACAGTATTATTTGTTAACACTCTGGGAGGCCTGTATACTACTTTTATTTAGCAAAAAATCAAGATGACGAATATGGTCACAATTTGGGAAGATGCTCATCACAGTTCTACTTCAGAAAAAAATAGCATCATTCGAGTTCTTTCTTCATTCATACACACTAGTAATCAGGTATGCATAAAAAGGCAAACAAAACACACCTGTATTCCTCCTAATAGAACTCACAGGGGAGTAAAAGCAGAGGAAGAAAGTCAGTGAGTTAATAAATCAAAAAGAGCCACTGATCACCAGGATTTTCACGCAATAAAGTTATAACAGTCTTTTGCTATTTCAGTTTATAATATGCAAACTGCCCCTTACAGAGTTTCTGTTTTGAAAAACGACGTGAAAAATTTCTCAAAATTGCTCTCACTTAAATAAAGAAGTATGTTACAAGGGAATGCAACTCTAAGACACGACAACACATTCCTGGTAGGAATGCAGAGAATTCACCCTGGAAGTACATATGGGGCCAAGTGCCATGATTCACCTAGAGGCCCACTGAGATTGAACTTGGTATTAAAATAATTCCTCAGTAAAAAGTATCCTCATTAAAGTTGAACATTTTCTAAATTCAGCAATCATACATTTCTTAATGTTTTACTAGAAATGCTCTAGAAGCGCTGGTTAATTATGGCAGCAAAGTCACTTGTTAATATACTGTTGAAATTGCAAGATCAATTAAATATAATAAAATGATATGTAAAACACAACACTCCATAAAAAGTATGAAAAAGGTTATAGAAGAAAAAAAAGCTGAGGCTGCTACCAGAGAGACTTAGAGGGGGCCAGTGTTATGCCAGGAAGGCCCCTCTTGGAAGGTGACCTGAAGGAAGAGAAGAGCCAGTCCTAGGGGGTGAAGAGACAGGGAACATTCTAGGCATAAGAAATGTAAGGAGGCCTCACAGGAGCAAAAGAGCTTGGTGTGATGGAGCAACTGGAAAGCTAGGGTGGCCAGAACACCAAAAGGGAGGGGGACAGGAATTGAGATAAGGTTGAAGGTAGGTAAGAGAAAGTCATTCAGGGTCTCCAAGACTTTATTAATGAGTGTGGATTTGGTTTTAATCTAGGTACACAAGAAAGTCTTTGAAGGACTTCACATAGGAAGATATATTTTTAAAGGATATTATTCTGATTACTATATAAAATGTGGTATATGTATACCATGGAGTACTATTCAGCTCTAAGAAACAACAGTGATATAGCATCTCTTGTATTTTCCTGGATAGAGCCGGAACCCAACTACTAAGTTAAGTATCCCAAGAATGGAAAAACAAGCACCATAAATACTCACCAGCAAACTGGCATTAACTGAGCAGCACCTAAGTGGACACATAGCAACTGCATTAATTGGGTATTGGGCAGGTAGGAGGGGGGCGGGTATATCCATACATAATGAGTGAGACATGCACCGTCTGGGGGATGGTCACGCTTGAAGCTCAGACTTGTGGGGAGAGGCGGGGCAAGGGTATTATTTGAAACCTTAAAATTTGTACCCCCAAATTATGCTGAAATAAAAAAATATATAATAACCACTTATGTATGTTTCAACTGAAAAGTGTCAATATATAAATAATTTTTTATCTTTAAAATAGATATCTTATTTAAATAATAAAAAAATAAAATAAAATGGATGGGAGAAGGTTAGAAGCAGAAGAGATTTGAAAACTATGCGGTAGTCTAGTTGAGCAACAATAGAGGGTGGGTGAGACCAGGGAGCTGGCAGTGGAGATGGGAAGTAGATGAATTTGAGATATATTCTGAAGACAGAATTTATAGGACCTGATAATAGCATAAATATGGGTCTTTGAGGGAGAGAGAAATCAAGAATGACTCCTAGATTCTAGCTTAGGAACAAGGTGGATGGTGATAGCATTTTCTGAGAAAGAGTAGACACTCTTCTGGGCAGAAGTTTAAGAATTCAGTTGTAGACAGGTTAAGGTTAAATGCTGTTAGGAAATCCAAGTGTTAATGTTAAGCAGGAATTTGCACATATTTGACAGGGGTGAGGGCTGGAGGGATAATTTGGCCATCCCTAACAAACAGATGATATTTAAAATTGTGTGAATGGATAAAAAGTATAGTAATGCATTGCTTAATGGTAGGAATACATTCTGAAAAATGCACTGTTAGGCAATTTTGTCCATGGATGAGGGGAACATCATAGAGTATACTTATATAAGCCTAGATGGTATAGCCTACTATATCTAGGCTATATGGTATGGCCTATTGCTCCTAGGCTACAAACCTATACTGCACATTATTGTACCAAATACTATAGGCAATTGTAACATAATGGTTGAGTATTTTTGTAACCAAACATATATAAACACAGAAAAGATACAGTAAAAATATGGTTTAAAAGATGAAAGATGGGCAGCTCTATAGGGCTGCTCCATTATAATTTTATGGGACCACCATCATATATGTGGTCCATCCTTCACCAAGATGTCATTATGCAGCACATGACTATATTAGGGATAGATGGTAGAAAACACAGAAAAGACAGCTCAACACCAAGCCCTTGGTGCGCCACCATTTAGAGAAAACCAAAAAAGTAAAATGCTCCAAATGAAGCCAAGAGGTAAAGAAGACTCAGGCAAGGAGTGATCAATCATGTGGAATGCTGGTAGGAGGTCCGCTTAGCTAAGTACTAAATATTGATTCAGATATATGGAAGTTGTTAACAACCATGGTGAGAGCAGTGCCTTTGGATAGGTGAGGTCAGAAGTCAGACGTAAGTAACTGAAGAATAAATGAGGTAAGGAAGTGGAAAAATGTGACAGCAACTCCATCAAGAAGTTTGGCTATGGAGTTCAGCAGAGGAATAGGATAGTTCAAGGGAGTTTTTTTTTTTTTTTTGAAAGATGGGAGACTTTAGAGTATGCTGACTTGTCAATGGTATTGACTGATACAATAGGTAGGAAAGACTGGAGACGCAGAAGAGACTGGAGACGTAGAAGAGAGAGAAGATAAGCAAAGGAGTGATAATCCCGAAAAGCTAAGAGATGATGGGGTTTAGGGTGTATATGGAAGCAATATATATTCAAAGAGAAAAACAGCCAAGATCTTTCTAGAATTAGTAAAAGGCACAAAAGCTCCAGCTTAAGAAAAGCTAAATGAGGCTCAAATAAGATAAATAAAAATATTCTATATCTATATAGATTATAGTGAACTTGCAGAATACCAAAAGACAAAGCAAAATCCTAAAAACCAGGTAACCTGCAAGAGAACAGCAATTAGGGTAAAAACAAACTTTTTCTCAGCAAAAAAAGAGAGTGATTATAGAAAAATTTCATCAAAGTACTAAGAGAAAAGTGTTGCCCACCTAACTTTTATAGCCAGCTAATTATCTATCACCCAAGAGCAAGAGTGAAATAAAGATATTTTCAAACAAATGTCAAGAGTTTCCACTCACAGATCCTCACTCAAAGAAATACTATTAATAAAATATATTTCAATGAGATGCAAATTAAACCTAGGAGGAAGGGATAGGATTCAGGAAGCAAAGGTAAATAAGAAAATGGGTAACTATGGGTCAATCTAATCAAGCCCTGTCTGCATAAAACAATAACAATATGACTAATTTTAGGGGACTTAAAACCAGAGTGAAACCAGAGTGGAAGATTGAAGGGGAAGAAGAGAGTTAAAGTATTCTAAGGCCCTTATAATTTGGGGAATGTAATAAGAGCTACTAATTATTGATGAATATTTCAAGTCAATTATGCATACATTAGATTTTGAGTATACACAGAAAGAATGAAATGGAATCCATCAATTTAAATTAATTTAAAAAATGCATAAAGGAAACAGAAATCAAGATTTGATTAAGCCAATAAAATGCAGGAAAGAAGAAAAAGGAGCAATAAAAACAGTGAATAAAAAATCCTTATATATCTCTAATTACAATAAACGTAAGTGGCTGTAATTCATCCTATAAAAGA